GCTTCATGAACTGGGGAACCTAAAACTTGTTTGGTTTTTTTTTCCCTGGGTTACTCTAAACAAGAACAGTTTATTTACCTAGTTCATCATCAAACAGTAGCACTAATGACCAATAGTACTAATAAAGGAATGATGCAGGAGCAGGAACAAATGGGAAGGGGACAAAGAGCAAGGAGCTATTTAGTCCAGCAACACTGGTTATGGAAGTATGGCCCGAGTGAATGCGAACTGCAGTGACTCGAGTTCTCTCATGGCACAGAGAGCAAGCAAACCTGACAACCTTAAGATCCATCATTCAAATTTCAAGAGATTCGGCATAGGTTTTACATTCAAAATCTCATTCTTATTGATTAACATTATGCTGAGAAGGACTTCATGTGGGCTGGATTAGGCTGCAGCATGCCAGCAGCATGCTTCTGTGGCTGAGCCCAACACGTGACAAATGCCAAATGAATGACTACCAGGCTCCTCTACATCAAACATAAAATATAACTTCCCAACAAAACTAAGCAAAATCAGTTAGGTTGATTCCTTCAGCTGTTTCATCACAGGAGAAGCAAGCAGTTAGAAGGCAGAGAGAGAGAGGACAATGATTTATACCAACTTAAAGCGTTTGCTGAAATATGGGCATTGTAAATAGGTTTCTGGCTGAAACTATGCCTCTTCCAAAGTGGACTGAACTGAGCTGTACCAGGATGTTTCTCTACAGCAAAAAGCACCTGCTTGGGGAAGCATGTCTGAGTAGCAAGTATAGAGAAGCTGTTTTGCTTTGTCGGATGGCATAAACCAGAGTGTTAACAGCTAAATTTGGGGTGGATACACAACAGATAAAACAATCCTCAGAGCTTAATTAATTTCAATTCAATAAATATAACCCATTGTCTGATTTGGAAAGGAATCTCATTAAAGGTCCAGGGGGAAAAAAAGGGAAAAGAAAAGAAAAAAATCACCTGCCCCACTACCGTGGCAAAAAACAGATCCAAATTCATGGGTTGGAATAGCATATTTTGTAAAGAAAAGATGCAGAATGTCCTATTCATACGACATTCAGTGACTGGTGCTCTGAATGCTTTCACATCTCAACTTAGCAAAATTTAAGCATTTGCTGAAAACCTTATGTAGCAAAGTACAAGCATGCATAACTAGCTATTTTCTTAAATTCTTGGAGAGTATGATTCTACTATGTCCTGAACTTCCCCAGCTCCCTCTGATGCCTTTAGGACTGATGCCCAATGGCTCACATGAAACCTTGAAGAATGAGGGCCTAGATGAATGCAGGGATAGCACTTCAGAACACACCTGGATTTTCAGTGCAGAATATTTTAGAGGTTTTGCTGTGGCTTCCTGGAAAGCTAAAAGGGTAGCAAAAGAGAGCAAATTCTGGATTCAGGTTCAGATTCCAGTGCTCTTTTTCCTGTGCACACAGAGTTTGCTTTGGGCAGATCTGCCCTACTTACATGATACACACACCTGTCAAGAACGCACCCTCATCCAGAGCTGTTAAATTACCCTCAGTGCGAGCCACCTTCCACATGGCTGAACCTTCTCTCTGGGGAGCTTTCAAGACTGATTTAGAGCAGCTTCCAAGACTGATTTTACAGGTGAGGTGAGCAGAGACAAGGGTCCTGCCCCTTTGCTGTGGCAGGTTGAGTCCATAAGCAATTTGGAAACATGGGCCAGAGCTAGCCGTCGTAGCTTGCTTCCCCTCACAGACCACCATGCTAATATGTGCCAGGCGTGAGATGCAGTCCCTGCTTGCGGCTGTCTTCTCCAGGTAGCTGTAATTGGCTGCACAGCAGTTTTCCAGTTGTGAGTGAGAAAAGCAATCAGCTACCAGATGAACAACAACTGCAGCAGCCAGGCTTTATATTTCTTCCTTCTTTAATGTATTTTTTCACTGATGCCTGTTTTCTAGCAATCTTATCACAAGTTTCTGTGAGGCCAAGTTCCCCATATCACAGTTCTCAGCTTTCATTTCAGGGAAAAGGAATTGTCTATCATATGCAAAGTGTAACTAATGTGAGACAAATCTACTGTTGGAGAAGAGGAAATGAATAAAAAACCCTGGCATTTTTAATGTTAAAATTGCACCATTTTTTAAGGAAATCTGATAAATTTGGGGGGTGTATGGATGATAAGCTTTGAATGCTTGGAGTTATCAGTATTGATTTATAATAATACCACATCACATGATGTGAAGTCTTCTTAAATACGTGGCTTTATGTCTTTAGCACAACTTATCCATATCAATAGGCACACGGCACTGTGCAGGCGGTAAGTAATAATAGTAACACTAAACATCCACAAATGCAACCAGCCCAAAAATCCAGGTATGCTTGATTTCACACATTTCAGCAACTAAAATGAGGTTGGGGAAGGCTATACTGGCCCAGTCTTTGCTCAGTGAGGACCACAATTCACAATAAAGGCCAGAGGCACTGCTGAAGTTCTGGATCCTTTAGGATGAGACACTGGACTTCTTTCTAGTACCTGCCAGTAGACCTCTCTGCCAGCTTTTCTTTTTCACCTCAGAACCCTCGGGGCTTTCTGTCTCAGCTCACAGCCTGTGCTGCCACTGAGTGTTATCAGCTGCTGCCAGTGCAAGTGGGCAGAATAAGTCCCCAGTGCAGGTCTGGTGCACGAGGACAGCTTCAGCAGCAAAAGGGGCTAAGCAATGTGACCGCTGGGCTGGCAAACACCTGTGGGAGTGGCACTTGGCACTGAAGCTGCGTACACCTTCACCGATGTTCCCAACAGCAACAACATTCAATCACAGCAGGACCCTTTCCGCTATAAAATCAAGTGCTAAAATGTCAGTGTCCTTCATGCACAGTGGCAGATCCAGCACCGGCCGGGGCAGCGCAAAACGGTGCTGGTTTACAGTAATGGGAACAGTCTCTCCACTGAGACCGATTCCTCCAGCTACGCACCAACTGGCAGACAGAGGTGTTGTTCTTCTCACTCCCTTTCTTCTTTTGCACAGGTATTAGGAGTCCCAACTGAGGACAGCTGGCCAGGACTTTCCAAGCTCCCCAACTATAACCCAGGTAGGATCTAACTCATGAGAATGCCAACTTTTTCTCTGAACCACTAGCTACTTTTTGGGTCAGTAATTCTCATTATGAAAAATCCTGTGGTTTGGTGTTACTAAATCCCTGGAGCTACTTCATGATAGTGTTGTTGTAGGACCTACAACACTGGGATTGGCCTAGGATATAAGCAAAGGTACATGCGTGGTAAAGTTGCCTCAGTGAGTGCTGGGTATATGTTAAGCTGATGGAAGATTTCATTGCTGCAAGTGCTAACAATTTAGTTAGTCTCCACTCCTCAGTGCAAAGGACCAATGTCTCCTGGTTTAGACTGGAAAAGCTGACAGGTACCTGGAGACACAGTTTATCTGAACTCTCCTTATTTTTATGAAGATTGGTTTGGGGGCCCTTAAACCTCAGTTTTAAAGGTCACTGTCCCTGATTTTGATGTGGGCAAGGTGAGAAATCTGTGTGATTTATAAAGCTGGCTCCTTTTATTTCCACATGGGCTGGTAGAGAAGTCTGTGTCCTGGACTTCAAAGGGCCAGTTGTCTCATATTTTGATGTGGGCAGGTTGAGAAGTACGCTTTGAAAAGCTAGCTCAGTCACTCTCCCCCTCTCTCTCTCCCTTTCTCTCTCTCTTTTTGTTTAATGTTTTCTCTTGGGAAAATATATTCAAGTGTCAGTGAGGGGGAAATGATGAGCACTGATTCTCAGCCTCTCAGCAGGATCATTCTCTAAGAGAAATATAAAAGTGAAATATTAAAAACCCTAGAATGTGAAATGCACCCATCTACAAGCTAGCTATTCTTTCTCACTTGTACCCTAAAAGAGTGGTGGGGGGAGCCTGTCTATCCAGAAGGGAGAAAAAAAGAGCAGGGGAGAGAGGAGGGGGGAGAAGACGTGCTTTGAGCAAGAGGTTTACAGGTTTAGTAGAGCATAGTAACATCTTTTCAAAGAAGTGGGTGTTGCTCTGTGACCCAGTCCAAGATGCCCCTCCTTTGATTCTGGTGCATGAACACTAAACAGCCTCCATTTTCACATGGTAGCCACGATTGGCTGAACAATAACGTGGTCTCACAGCCGAAAGGACTGGAATCCTTCACACAATTAGCTGAGACACATTAATCAAACCAGCGTGAAATGGGAATGTGTTGCTGTCCACAGCAAGTTTAATTTGGATAGAGAGCAAGCACAGAGCAGACAGCTGGAGGAAGCGCTTTCTTCTCTAAGTTGTTGAAGGCTTGGCTGGGTAGTCTACAAGTTGGGAAGGGCAGTCTGGGTGGAAAGACATGGTCATGTGTGGGACAAACTGATCACAAAGAATTTTTTTAATGCAGTCATACAAGGACAAAAACTCTCAGTGATGATGATTAAGTATCCCAATGCTATACAGAGGGACAATCTAAAAGTGCATCACACCATGCTACTAAACATATGGGAGAGGGGTGCTGAGCCAGTGTGTGGGGCAATAGCTGTGCTAGCTGGAGAGGCAGCATACCTTTCTCCTCCTCAGAGCCTGCCTAAGGGGTCTGAGCTGCTCCAGCCACGTACTGGAACAAAGCACTTTAGCACACACCTGGATTATACAAACCAGTCTGGATGGCAGAAGGTTAGTCATATAAAGTTGGACTATTCGCCCTTGTCGTGAACTAAATCAAGTCAGTTTTTGATGGAGCTGCTGGCAAGGAGGCAAATTAGTTTCTTTGTTTAAAGCTATTTGCCATTCACATGCTCCTGTGCACTCCCCCTCTCTTCCCTGAAGCACAAGTGCTGTTTCCCTCCCAGCCAGGACATGCTCAGCCCCAGTGGAAGCTGTGGAGTCTGCCTGAGAAAACCTTCCCTCTTGAGGTTATTTCCAGCCCAGTTGTGAGAATCTGAGTGCCTGGGATGGTTCAGATAAGCAAACAAACTTCGGAGGCTTCCCCAAATCTGATGGCTTGAATGCTTTCAGCTAGTCCTATTGATGTTCACTGTGAGCTCAGGCAGCAAACAAACAAACAGGTTCCTGCCCGAGGCAAGGAACGAACACGGGCAAAACAAAGCACTGAGGTGTGATCCTCTTCTCATTGAAGCTGATGGCAAAACTCCCACTGGATTCAGCAGTGTAGGCTCAGCCCTAGATGGAGGTTGCTACTGGAAGGGTTCCTGGGCCAGGTGGGTTAGTAGGAATCTTTGAAATGAAAGCTGGAAACCTTCAGATGTTTTTCTGTCACTCCTGTGGGCTCGAGCATATCCTGCTGCAGAATCTGAAGATGATATACAGCATGGGCTGTGGCACACACACGCAGGGCAGCTGCAGGAAGAGCAGCTCCCCTGACCCCTCTATGGGCAACTGGCAAGGGATGAAATGTGCAAAGGAGTATTTGTCCACCCTGTGCCCCTGTGCCTTCTTGCACCGAGAAGTTCAGAAATGGGCCTCATGCCCATTGCCTACAGTTCGCCAAAATCTCAACCTGTACCTGACCCCAGGTGAACAGGAAGGATGGGTGAGCAACTCTTCCACGGCCAACCCTGCAGCTTGTGATCTCCCTCCTCTCTGCAGGAGAGACTCCTGGGGTAGGGAATTACACGCAGCCGTGGGGCCTGAAAGCACAGTGTTACCCCAGCCCTGGCCTGAGAACTGGTTCCTGCAGAACATGAAGGCTTGGGAGAGCTCCTGCCCCACGTCTCAGCACACTCGCTGGCCCTCTCCCTGGCTCCCCAGGCTTAGGAGCCCTGCCCATAGTGACAAGGCTTTGCCCTGTGTTTGTTCATTTGTTCTGTTCCCCTCATTTTGCTTCCCCTGAAAGAGGCAGTTGTAGCTCTGTTAACACTATTTTTGAAAGCTCCCATGCTGTGTGAGCTCAAATCCTTGCATTAATCTACTGCTGTGTTCATTTCACTGCGCTGAAAAGCAGGGAGTTTAAATCCCCTCTAAACACCATCGGTGACACCAGAAGGCCAGTGTTTTGATCCAGCCCCATTAATGGTTACAAGTTTGAATCTAGACAGCAGGGGTCAAGGGCAGGAAAGGATTAGGAATCACAGCCCATGACATTTGGTGCTTTTGCCAAACTGGGAATACTGGAGTGCCCAATGCACCGAGTTGGTTTTTGTTTCCTTTTTCTAACGTTTGGATTCCAGAGAGCAGAGAACAGTGCTTATTTGTTTGTAACATGATCAGCTCGCTACGATTGAGCTTTACTCCATGATTTATCATACAGGCTGGCTGCCGAAGTTTCCTATGGCAGGTAGTTATCATCTCACTTAGCAGACGCAGGTTTTACACCGGGCTTTTTCAGATGCAGCAATGAGTTTTAAATCAAGCCTAGTTTTTCACATATCTGCAGGCTTTGCTACACTGAATGAGATTCAGAAGCTTACCACAATCAACGTCTGCTCCCGACTATAGATTTTTTGATCTACTGCGTTTCCAAAATGTCACCAGCAGATGGAGGCAAGAAGCAGCAGGCGCTGAGCCGCTCTCTGCAAATGGTATTTTTGAGAAGGCAGATGAAGTCTGCACTCCGAGTGGGGTTTTTTGTTCCTTTTTTTTTTAATCTCACTTTTTATGCTGGTGCTTCATTTAACAAATGGGACGGTTGGAAACTGAATTCTAAAATGAAATTTTTATTGCCATAATAAACTGCATGTGGCTTTGATCCAAAGGGAAGAGCAGCACTGTAACTAATGTGCAGTCTATGCTGGCCAGGCTGCAGGGACACTTCCTATCTGTCTGGCACCGGGCACAGGCTGCAGCTCCCAGCCTGCCAGCTGGTGCTTCATTTAACAAATGGGACGGTTGGAAACTGAATTCTAAAATGAAATTTTTATTGCCATAATAAACTGCATGTGGCTTTGATCCAAAGGGAAGAGCAGCACTGTAACTAATGTGCAGTCTATGCTGGCCAGGCTGCAGGGACACTTCCTATCTGTCTGGCACCGGGCACAGGCTGCAGCTCCCAGCCTGCCACACAGACAGAGCTCTGCTTCTGTCCTGCAGCCACAGAGATTGCACTAATGAGAGAAATTTTCTCTGCCAGCCTGCAACCCCAGCACCTTCATCCAGCACCACTTGGCATCCTCTTTCTCTCTCTTCATCAATTAGGAAAGTTTAACTTTTGTCCTCTGGCTTGCTTGCCTCATTATCAGTTCATTAGCCACTTCCACCTGGGTTTTCATATAGGAAGGTATTTCCTCATTAGCACACACTGCCTTGCATACAGGTATAAGATAACAAACCCAAGCACTATCTTTCAGATCTACTCATATTGTTAAAAAAGCCAATCAGCCCTACACAATCCCATCATTTTATGTCTATATCACCCTTGTAAGACGATTAAATCAGTAGTTCATCCACTTTTTGGAATTATATCAAAATATTCTTTATGTCTTACCTTTAAGGAGTAGTTGTTTAGGTTGTTTTACAATTTTAGATTGGTCTTAATCTTACAGTAGGGAAAATATTTACTGCTCTGTTCTTACCCTGCTCAACACAACGGGGCCTCGGCATTATGTCTATACCGGGTCAGTCAGGAGATTAATCTGAACTGATTTAAAGTGGATTAGTTAACTGCATTAAATCCTTGAGCAGACACACTGTTTTCTTACCCATATCTTCCATTTATAATCAAAGCTCTGTATACTCAAAGTGGCAAGTTTGGCAGTCCTCACTCAAGCAGAATTCTCCATCAAGAGATGTGTTTGAACAGGGATAGCAGTAATTGGCTCACAGGCTCTTACACTACCCCTTGTAGATAAGTATTAGTCTCCATGTTATATAAATGATAAATTTAAGTCAAGAGGCTTGCTCAAGACAGCAAATACTATAATTCAAGTATTCCTCCCAGTTCCCAGTAAGCAAGCTGGTATTTCTATCTGTAATGTAAAGAAAAACCCATTTCTTCTTTGGAATGTTAATCCTGAAAATGCACTCCACAAAAACAAAGTCATGTTTCAGTTAGATATCACTGAAACATTTTGCCCTGCTCTTATCAACAGAACATGCATTTTTTAACTTTTATGTTAAACTCATTAAAGAATATTAATGTTAAAATATTTCAGTAAAGTACAATATTTAAGTCATCTTGACATTTTTACTAAATATTAAAGGAAACTGATATATTGTCATGGAACATTTCAATCTCACAAATCAAAATTTTCTGGCAGAAGGTTACAACATCTGAAAGCTTTTGGCCAGCTCTCTGAAGAGGTAAACATTCTACCTTGTAAAAAAAAAATCTTATGCCTTTACAAACAATTTTTTAAGTTGTTTTTCTTCTCTTCTGCCTGGAAACTACATTTCTACTCAATATGGACGATTTATTTCTACACTTTTATTACAGTCGAGGGGGCAAAATGAAGGAAAGAGGATACAGAGAAAATGTTATTAGTGATCCAAAAGGAGTGTTCTGCCAGAGTTAATCTTGGTGACTGATTTGGGGAGGGGCTATTCAGGATACTAATATATAACTTCTATATATTGGTGATAATTCCAGTGCTCTGGCACCTAAACGGTCATGAATCCTGTCCCAGGTTATATTGCCATTTACTGCTTTAGCAATTACCTTAGTATTTGGGTGTAGGAGAACACTTCAATTGTGAACTGTTACTTACCCTGTGACAGACAGGTTTAACTGCCTACTTGCCTGCCTTAATGGTGAAAGATTGCTGCTGGAAAGGTTAAGTGCTGAAAGTTGAGTCATTTGCACTTACTCAAATTGCCTGTGCATCAAGTCAGACACCGAGTGACCGAGCCCCCAGGCCGGGCATTCTGGAAATGGCCAGGCAGGCGAAGGCAGAGGAGGCACCCTCAGCTTCTGTCCCTGAATGATAGGGATGGTGCTCCCGGGCAGGAAGGGAGAGCAGATGCTCTCTGACGGTGTAGCATAAGCCCAGCCGAGCTCCAAATTTACTGGCAACAGAGCAGTGGTGCTTGCCTCCTGGAGGTCCCACTGCTGTGGGGAATGTTTGGGCTGGGCTGCAGGAGAGCTCTACACCGCCCTTCCTGCTCTCCCTTCCCTTCCGTGGCTAGAGCACTGTTCATTTCTGCTGGCTGCAATGGCGCTCAGGAAAATGTAGCTGGGTAGAAATTACTTATGCAAGAAAATATCTCTGTTGATCAGCTCCAAGGGGAAATCTTCCAGGCTTAAGCCATTCATTCATATCTAAGCCTGAGAAAATTCATGCTTCATAAGAAAACATTTGAGGAATGTTTTCCTCTAGATTTTCCACAATGTTTAGAAATGGGTCCTTGGCAAATGGCAACAACAACACAGCCTTCCCAAAACTGCAAACTCTGCAAAGTTCCAGTCTGGTAGAGATGTTTGAGTCAGTAAGTACAAAGCATGCGTGGAAATGGTTAACTTGATAAACGACAAACTTAGTGAGGGACTGACAACAAGAGCAGTGGGCAAGAAGAGAGGGGGACCCAAGTGCCTTTGCTCCATCCTCAGCCTTTCTGCCAGATCCATGCAGAAAAACTCCAAGTGCCCACAGTGCAATACATGAAGCTCACAGCCCCTTGGAAAGCCAAGACAATTGCTGGGAATTCAGGCCTGCTCACCTCTTTCTGCTTCCCGCGTGTGAAGGCTTTAGGGACTGATGCTGCTTTTATTGAAGTCAAAGCTAAGACTCGCGCTGTAACAGAAGGAGGCCCAAGGCCTATATTCACAGATGTATGAAAGGAAAGGGTTACAGAACTGGAACAGCCTTATTAACATCAATGCTGGTACCCAAGTCCTATCAGAATAATGTATATTTATAAATACTAGGATGACAGATTCTATAGGGCCCTTTGAAATTCTGAGCACGCGATTTTTTGTAAGGCCTCAAAGAATAGTTTTTGGCTTGATTTTCATTTAATCCTGTGGTTGCATATTACACTTCCTAGAACTGGTTGCTTCCAGGAGACCTCAGAGACTCCGAGTCATCTGTGACAGGTAAGCTACCTATAACAGCAATGTCAGAATCGCCCCTGGGTTTATTTGTTTCTTTATGCAATCATTTAACTTGAAATGAGCTCTTCTGGCAAGCTGAGG